TTTTTTTGACCATGTCATCAGAGGGGCTCCGTAGATATTAACTCATTTTGAAAAAAGACGCTTCAAATGCATCATTAAAGGAACCCAAAGTAATATGAGCTCCATGCAGATGATGATGATGATGATGATGAGTGGGTTTCAACCTCTGACCAACCCAGCAGATCCATTTTACAACATTTCCATTTACGTTAAGCAGATTTCCATGAATGAATCCACAGGTAGAACCTTCAATCAGAGGTTAAACTACAGTTACAGCTGCAGAACAAAAACAGCCTTAATTTAGCTCCTTCTCCAGCGCCGCGATGTGATGATTAGCTGTGATGGAGAGCAGGATGGTACCTGTGAAGTCTATAAGATAATTACAGTCATGCATTAAAATGGCAGGGAGAGGATCATATTAGGATTTATTCATGTTAAACTATAAGATAATGGGAAGGTGCTAATTTAATTGGAGCAAAGAGCATCCTCAGAGTGGCAGCCAACCCCATTCAAAGAATGGATGGAAAGAATCCAGTCTAATAGTTCAGGTTGGTGAAGCCGAGTCGACCATCTAAACCCCCTCAGGGACAGAGTCCGCAGCACAGAGATCCCGTTTGATAATCTATGTGGATGTGATGGATAAGCAGCTTCGTCTCAATGATCAGCAATCTCCTCAGCTGAATGTCCACACCTCCAGCTCCATGATGCGGAAGTCGTCTGTTTCAGAGAGGGAGCAGTTGTTGAAGGTGTAGCACGGACTGCTGCGGCCCAAATACAGGTTCTCATCCACCCACAGGCCGAAGTGACCCCTGGGGAGAGAGGAGAGAGGCACAGAAGGCGGCTGGGTAGAGGGGGAATCTTTAAAAAAGAAAAAAAATTATAATATCAAGTTTGTATTTTACCTTCCGCCGCCTACGGCGAAGCAATCCAAGTCTCCTTTAATGAAAAACGAGTTCTCTCCTGTCCACCTGAAGCACTGACAGGAAAGAAACCAGCAGCTTCTCAGACTCAGGGATCACATTTCAACTTTCACTACAGCTGAGATTTTCCTGGGATTTTGAGCTTTACAGAAACTCAAAGTAAGGCATCGTTAGGAAGCAAAAAAAAGGGATGCATGGTTCTATGTTTTTTTTTAAATAAAAAATCTGAAAATTGCGGCAGGATGTTACACTGACCCACCCCTATCTTAAAGGAATAGTGCACCCAAAACATGATTAGCCTTCATTTTCTACTC